GACAGTGCAGCGCTCCCTCGGTACTGACCCTCTGACGGCGCGGCACTCCCTCAGTACTGACCCTCTGACAGTGCGGCACTCCCTCAGTACTGACTCACTGACAGTGCGACACTCCCTCAGTACTGACCCTCTGACAGTGCGGCACTCCCTCAGTACTGACCCTCTGACAGTGCGGCGCTCCCTCAGTACTGACCCTATGACAGTGCGACACTCCCTCAGCACTGACCCTCTGACAGTGCGGCACTCCCTCAGCACTGACCCTCTGACAGTGCAGCACTCCCTCAGTACTGACCCTCTGACAGTACAGCACTCCCTCAGCACTGACCCTCTGACAGTTCTGCACTCCCTCAGTACTGACCCTCTGACTGTGGGTAAATGAGTCTTATTTTAAAATCTTCATCAGGTATTACCTGGGATTACGTGTTGTACTAAGGATATAAAAAAGTCCATTCTGCCCAACCATTCCTGCCAGCAGGAACACTCCAATGCCCCTCCCTCCATCCTCCCCTCCAATTTGATGGCCCAGTGTCTGATTGTCCAGCCTTGTGCATTCTTTGGGTAAAATTGGTACAACTGCAGATCAGGTGAGAGACATCAGGAAATCAGTGTGGGGTGGGAGTGCAGGTAAGATTAGAGATGGTGGGGCGGGGAGAACACTAGGGGGATTGTGAGAAAAGGAGACAGGTGTAGGCCATTCGGCCCATCGAGCCTGCCTGCCGCCATTCAGCAGAATCATGGGTTCTCTGACTGTGGCCTTTTATTTGCCTTGACCCCATCTCCAAGAAGAGGAGTTGGTTGCCTTGTCAGTGAACAAGCAGTCTGGGAATGAGCACCATCCTGGGTGGCACAGTGGTTAGCACTGCTGCCTCACAGCGTGAGGGACCTGGGCTCGATCCCACCCTCGGGTGACTGTCTGTGTGGAGTTTGCACATTCTCCCCGTGTCTGTGTGGGTTTCCTCCCACAGTCCAGGGATGTGCAGGTTAGGATTGGCCATGCTAAATTACCTGTGGTGTTCAGGGATTTGTAGATTATGGGTGGGATGCTCTGAGGGTCGGTGTGGACTTTTTGGGCCGAAGGGCCTGTTTCCACACTGTAGGGATTCTGTGATTCTAATTCGAAGGGTGGTTGAAAGACAGGCATTCTCAGGCCCAAAAATCCGTGGGTGCAGGAGTTAATTGGAGCTTTGACAATTGAGGGGAGGGGCAGATTTCTGTTGGTGGAACAGGGTCAAGGGATATGAAGCAAAGGCACAGAGCGGCCACAGGGGAACGGAATGTCAGAAAAGATGTACGGGGCTCCTGTGTGGGACATCTGTAGTGTCCCAACCCGTGGGCCAGGAGGCCAAGTCCCATCTGCTCCAGAAGTGTGTAATAACATGGCTAATTTGCAAAACAAGTTAAGTAAAAAAAGAGGATGAACAGTGGGGCCCTCTTGTTGCACAATGGCAGTGTGCCAACCTCTGGACTGGGAGGACTGGGTTCATGTCCCACCTGCTCCAGAAATATGTGATGACATCTTGGAATAGGCTGATCAGAAAGGTAGGTTAAATTTAACAAAATGACGAAAGTATGTATGGTCTGTTCTCGTTCCTGAAGCCAGGAACACACTTTAACACCATGCAGTCCTCCTGAAACCTGACTTTGAGACAACCACATAGTCACTACATCGTCCTGTTCCTCACATAGCAAGGTATGAGTCGTGTCAGGGGTAAAAACAGCTCATATTAATTTGGACAAGAGTTCCTGGGTGAGAGCACAGCACTGTAATGCACAGTTGGGTGAGCGTGTTATCCTGGGCCATTCATTGAGGGCCCGGCCCTGTACTTTTCAATGGCATGGAGGATTCACCATGTTCCACTGGAATTTAATTGAGGCGTTAGAATATTGGATACCCGGGAGTGAGTTACAGGCTTGTTTATATATACAATAATGGATAATCTACAAATCTTTAAATAAACTATAAAATCTATAATAATCTATAAAACTCTGTTTAGACCACACTTGGAATATTGTGTTCAGTTCTGGTCACCTCATTATAGGAAGGATGTGGAAGCTTTAGAGAGGGTGCAGAGGAGATTTACCAGGATGCTGCCTGGACTGGAGGGCAGGTCTTATGAGGAAAGGTTGAGGGATCTAGGGCATTTCTAATTGGAGCGAAGAAGGATGAGTGGTGACTTGATAGAGGTGTACAAAATGATGTGAGGCATAGATAGAGAGGATAGTCAGAGACTTTTTCCCAGAGAGGAAATGACTACTATGAGGGGCCATAATTTTAAGGTGATTGGAAGAAGGTATAAGGGAGGTGTTAGAGGTAGGTTTTTTACACAGAGAGTGGTGGGCGTGTGGAACGCACTCCCGGCAGTGGTAGTGGAGTCAGAAACTTTAGAGACTTTTAAGCGACTCTTGGATAGGCACATGGAGGATAGTGAAATGTAGGGTCTGCAGGGTAGATTGATCTTAGTAGGATAATAGGTCGGCACAACATCGTAGGCCGAAGGGCCTGTACTGTGCTGTACTGTTCTATGTTCTATACCTGGGAGTGAGTTCCAGGCTGGAATCTAATCAAGGGGTTCAGACGGTTTATATATAGAATAATGCATACCTGAGAGTGAGGTACAGACTAGAATTTAATTGAGGGATTTAGATGGTTTATATATAGAACCAGGTTTGATTTCATCCTCGGGTGACTATCTGTGTGGAGTTTGCACGTTCTCCCCGTGTCTGTGTGGGTTTCCTCCCACAGTCCAAAGATATGCAGGCTGGGTGGATTGGCCATGCTAAATTGACCACACAGTGTCCAGGGATGTGTAGGCTAGGTGGGTTAGCGGATTACACAGATAGGGTAGAGGGTGGGTCTGGGTGGGATGCTCTTTGGGGAGGTCGGTGCATACTTGATGGGCTGAATGGCCTATTTCTGCACTGTATGGCTGATCCGACATTCCTCCTATCTGCTTTCCTGTCCTTGCCCCAAAACCCTCGATTTCCCTACTGATGAAGAATCCATCTATCTCACCCTTAAACATACATGAGGACTCTTCCTGGCTGGCCATTCCCCAACCCCCAACCCCAAACCCCAGGGCAGGGAGTTCCAAACACTTCCAAACAACCCTCCGAGAGAACACAACTCTTTGGAGCAAACCCAGAGCTGATAGGCTGCCATGCTCGGTGCAGGCACTGTCGGAGGGTGTGACCCAGCCGCACATTCCCAGGTGGCATAGGGTGTCACAATCCTGGCAAAACAACCAAACCACAGGTACCAACCCTACCCCAACTCTCCCCCCACCTCCAGGATAATATCAACAGGGCATATGGGACTGTTAGCGTGCAAACTCCCAGCTGAGAGGCAAGTGTGTGTGTGAATGTACTGGACGGCATTCACACAGCCAATTCCCTTTCTTTCTTAAAAGGCCCCGATTTAATCTGACTTGTGTTCATATTCCATGCAAACCCAGACGTGTGTGTGCTCACATAGAGCTCCTTAGCCCTCAGAAGCTGAACAACAGCTAGACACAGTCAGTGAGAGGGTGTGAAACACACAGAGACAGGGAGAGAGAAGGAGAAGCTGTTTGTCTCTCTCTCTCTCTCTCTGCCTTACTCCCTGACACCATCCACCCCCACTACCTTTACCTGCTCATTCTCCTGCATGGAAGCGGCGAGAGGCAGCCCGTCCGCCACCCGGGCGATCATGGTCATCAGGATCATGCTGCTACGGCTGCTTGGGGGTGTGTAGGAGACGGAGAGAGGGAAGGAGGGAAGGTGAGAGAGAGAGAGAGAGAGCAAACAGCTGCTGCTACTGTAAGGAAACTCTGAGAGCCCCAGGGACACACTGACTGACGTGGCTCATTCCACGCTGCAGCTCCGCGTCAGCACCTCCCCCAGGCTGAGGGGGCAGGGGCACACAGGGAGGGCAGGGGCACACAGGGAGGGCAGGGGCACACAGGGAGGGCAGAGGGGGGGCAGGGACACACAGGGAGGGCAGAGGGAGGGCAGGGGCACA